GGCACCAGAAAGCCTCCTCCAAATTCCTGAAGTAGAGAACAGTTAAGGTGCTTGAGATGGCATTTCCTTAGTACAAAAGTGCTGTTCTTAAATGTGCCTGGCCATGCAGGAGGACTCCAGGTGCCCAGCATATTACTTTTCAAGACCTGCCAGAATCCATCTTGGTTACACTCGCCATAAGCTTTCAGCTGCCTGGCTTGTCTTTGCTCATTTGGGGAGGGTGAAGCTATAGGGGTGTAGAATGAAAGGCAATGGCCATAGAAGTGTCATAGAATCATAGAATGGTTTGGGTTGGAAGGGACCTTTCAAGGTCATCTAGTCCAACCTCCCCTGCAGTGAGCAGGGACATCTTCAACTAGATCAGGTTGATCAGAGCCCCATCCAAACTGACCTTGAATGTTTCCAGGGATGGGGCTTCTACCATCTCTGTGGGCAACCTGTGCCAGTGTTTCATCATCCTCACTGTAAAAAATGCCTTCCTTATATTTAGTCTAGATCTACCCTCTTTTAGTTTAAAATCATTACCCTTTGTGTTATTGCAACAGGCCCTGTTAAAACATTTGTCCCCATCTTTCTTACGCCCCCTTTAAGTATTGAAAGGCTGCAATAAGGTCTCCCCGGAGCCTTCTCTTCTCCAGGCTGAAAAAACCCCAACTCTCTCAGCCTGTCCTCATAGAAGAGGTGTTCCATCCCTCTGATCATATTTATGGCTCTCCTCTGGACCCAGTCCAACAGGTCCATGTCTTTCCTGTTGCTGAGGGCTCCAGAGCTGGATGCAGTACTCCAGGTGGGGTGTCTCCAGAGTGAAGTAGAGGGGCAGAATCACCTCCCTTGACCTGCTGGCCACACTTCTCTTGATGCAGCCCAGGATACAGTTGGCCTTGTGGGCTGCAAGAGTACGTTGCCGGCTCCTGTCCAGCTTCTCGTCCACCAGTACCCCCAAGTCCTTCTCTGCAGGGCTGTTCTCAATCCTTTCTCTGATCAGCCTGTATTTGTGCTTGGGGTTGCCCCGACCCAGGTGCAGACCTTGCACTTGGCCTTGTTGAACCCTATGAGGTTCACATGGGCTCACTTTTCAAGCTTGCCCAGGTCCCTGTGGATGGCATCCTGTCCCTCCAGCGTGTCGACTGCACCACTCAGCTTGGTGTCATCAGCAGACTTGCTGAGGGTGCACTCAGTCCCACTGTGTCATTGATGAAGATACTAAACAGTACTGGTCCCAGTAGGGACCCCTGAGGGACATCACTTGTCACTGATCTCCATCTGAACATGGAGCCATTGACCACTACCCTCCTGGTGCTCTGTGTAAATAGTTGGGTCAGATGGCTGCTTCCAGTGGGAATAGGACCTGCTATTGCAGGTGTGTTGTACTGCACAGGATGGATGTGTCCTACACTTCTGCAGTACGTACTAGAGCTAAGGAATAAAAAGTCAGTTCTGACTTTCAACTCTAGTTGAATGTTCCTTTGCTTCTGAGTTTCTGAAGTCAGAGAATACTAATGGTACTCTATTCTATGGGAACGTTTGGCATTGCATCATGTCAGTACATCAAACCCCTCTAAGAAAGGGTTATATTTTGCATTCAGGTATGTTCAGCTGCCAGTGGAAACAGCTGAACATTGGGTCATATTCTGTGTGTGGAGACTTGTGATGAAGCTGGCCAAAATGCAGGATTATAATGGTGAAGAGTAAATGAGGACCAGACCTTGTCCCTGCTGTGGTCATGCTCATTTTGTCTGTTAGCAGCAGGACTTATTTCATCATGTAAGCATCATCTTGAGAGCAAAGTGACGACTGTTGAGGGGAAACTGAACAGCCAAATTTAACTTTTGGGAAGTGACTGTCTTAAAGGAGCAACACCTGACTGCACTGCAGTGTTTCTTTCTTTCCCCATCCAGGCTGAAAAAGCCAAGGTCCTGAATTCCTGAAGGGGTGGAGAGGGGCAGGCAGGCTCCCTTGTTTCAAAATGAATTCCAGAAGCAGGCAGTGATGAAAATGAGTTTGGCTTTTCAGTGCCTTGGGGAGAAGAGAAACTGTCTATGCCAGCACTTAGTAGAGTTGCCCTGAAACCTAGAGTACACGTCTCTTATTTCAAAGATAATCTACACTCTCTGACATTTTTCTTTACAGGTGGCACACAGTACGATCACGACCACGTTGTTGTCAACACAGTCAGCGAAGAAAAGTTAACGCAGTGTTGGGAACCACTAGTTGTGTAAACCCAAACAAACAAAGATGACGTGTGAATTAACCATTATTCCAGACACTAGAATTGCCACTGCCATCTCAGAAGGACACAGGATCAACAATGAGAGTTTTGTCTTCTCTCTGCAATTTTTCAAAAGAACATGTAACAGAATGATTTCACCTGTCTGTCTAAGATTATTATCCCTATAAAAGCTTGAATCTCTCTCAACCTTCCTCCCCTTCCCCCCCATCAACACAACTCAGTGTGAGACAGGGAGTGGTAGCATGCCTATGCCTTGGGCTAGAGTGGAAGAACTAAAGGTGGGAGAGATCTCATGCAGTTACGATTGTGTCAGTGAGTAGTTAATCCAGAATAGTCAATAAGCATAACTTTAAATTATTTTTTAAAGTTTGGGGGTTTTTTAACTGAGAGAAGGGCTAAAAAATAATTAAAGCTTATTTTACAAAGGACAGGAGTGCATGCAGTGTGTACGTGGGTATAGCAGCTTGGACCCATGGGCTGTAGTACAGAGAAATATTCACTACTGGAAATTAATGTTTGTTTCACTGGAACAAACTTATGTTTACTGCAAGTTTAAAGACTGTTAGCACACAGCACATCCAAAGAATTTTTAACATGTGGCTTCAAATATAGTTAGTATGCTCATATAGTATATCCTAAATTAAGAAGAAATTCTAGATTTTTTCATGTAGAGATTATGTAAATTAATAGATGTTTGATAGAAGAGAGGGCTGGCAAAATGCCGCATTGGAATGTGAAGAACTTGCCCATTTTCTAGGCTGCCTAAGTTGTTGAATTATGGGTATTTTACTTCTTTGCCAAGTCAAATTTTTATCTTTTAAAACTTCTCCTGTAAGCATAGTCTTCCTGAACTCCAAAATCATATAGAAAACAAGAATTCAGAGAGAAAGTGTCACTACAGATGACTGCAGCAGCACCCAGGCACTGTGGTTACCAAGTTTTTGAGCCCTGTCAGTTGCCAGAGTCCCTGGTGTTTCTGGTGATGCTGGAGAGCAATGTCTGGGGTGGGCTGCTGGCTCCTGCTGCGGCTGGGCTGAAGTGTCAGGCTGCTCTAGCAAGGGGCACAGCCAAGCCTGGATGCGTGCCCAGTCACAAGGGCTGTGCCGTTCAAAGTAAGCATTACTGGTTCTGTAAAGGGCTTGTGACAACGGAGACATACTAGTGACTGCAGGAGGTTCTTCTGTTTCCCTGCTCTTAACCTGGTTTTGTTTGTTTTCCTTAATTATATTGGCAAAAAGGTAAAATACAGAGAGTCTTGTACTATGCTGCTGTGTTTTGTTCTGGCTTAGACCAGTGTTACTACAAGCTGCTCCTAGGAGCATCCAGGCCTTTGTCTTGCATCGTAAGTCTGTTTAAAATTAACACTTTCATTACTATTGTATTGCCTCAAAGGATACTGGTGCTTTTATTACCACTCTAGAGGAAGTGCCTTACTAATTTTCCTCCTTTTGTACAGACGTACTGCAGTTTTGTTGCTCTGAGATGTGCTGCTTTTAGTTCTTCACAGAAAATGTATCAGTTTCAAAAATGCATTGGTTCCAAACAGTGGTACTTTGTCATACTGATGTGCTCGTGCTATATATAATATAGCATTTTACAAATAAATTTAAGTTAGGTAACTTTTTATTGAAATTATTTTTAAAGGTAGAAAGCTGACACTTGACAGTTAATTCTGCTTCTGTTTTGTGCCCTTCTCTGTCCATAATTCCTTTGCAACAGCTAACTAATGAGGAGTGAATACGTGGTGTGGAATAGCTGCAGGCGCGGAGGAAGCACGTGTTCAGTGCATCTGTACGTGGGGCCACAGTTCACGTGGCTGCTGCTTGTCCCCCGGTGGAAGCACTGGGGGGACAGTGGGCTTCACCCCATCACATGGGCTTTCCATCATGGCAAAGGGGCAGGTCTCAGTTCAGAGGTTACCACTTTCCTTCCATCTACCTGTGTAACTGCAGGGGACGTCACTTCATAGACCATTTCTGGCAAAATGGTAAGCTTAAAAACAGACCAACCAACACATACTCCCCTCAGGTACTTCACCCCCAGCAGCAGTGCCAGGGGGCCTGGCAGGAACAGGGTCTCCTGATCAGTGACACAATCATGTCTAGCCTACCTGCATAAACACTCGAGTCAGCTGAATCTGTTCCAGGAGCTAGGCTATTAGAATAATTAACAGTTCCAGATTGATTTTGTTCCATGCTTCTACTCAAGATTAGTTATGCCAGAAGAGATGTGCTATATCAAGATTAAAGTACTGGTCTTGAAACAGCCATGTGACCACTTAATACAGGAAAAGTTTACAGGTTCTGAGAATGAACTAGATTTGAGTAATAATATAGACTAATAAAGGTGAACAAAACTAGGAAAGGCCAAGGAAAAAAGGACAGCACAAGTCTTGTGTGGACAATTAGAGAAAAGTGTGCCTCACCATTTCAGGACTCAGCTAAAACACCTGGAAAATAAAAGCTCCAAGATCTACAAACTGAAAATGCTTCCAGCTGTTCCTCTTCTCCCAAGAGTGAGGGGTGTTCTGCAGAAGTCACAAGTACGTTCTTAACATGGGACATTAGGATTTCTTGTCTGCGTAGTAACAATTATTAACAGGCAGAGTACGAAGGAATCAAAGAGGCTTTTCTAAAACAGTACTTTAAAAAAAAAAAATGCATCCTGTGTGAGCTTTTAAAGAAGAAACAGTTGCTATGTACCAATTCATGTTCAAGTTTCATTTACCAGTAAAGGACTGACTGCAGGCAGGATAATGATTAGAGATACTTTAATTTTTACTAATTACATTGATCACTGTTTTTCCACGTGCGTGTCCTCCTTCCAATTTCAGAAAGGCCTTTGGAACTTCAGAAAAAGAGAAGACTTCATCAATAACTGGTTGAATCTACAGAATAAAGAAAAAGTGTAACTGTATTAGGAATAAAATATTGTATCACTTTCATGCTTCAAAGCTGTATGAAGAAAGGGGGGAGGTTTACTTTCTAGTATTTAGGGCAGAAGTTGCCAGATGATGTAATCACTAGCTTTTAACTTTTTTCAGGACCCCTCTGCATGCAGAAGGCTTTCTGCTGCTCTTTGCCCGGGTTTTGAAACATCTCTCCTAGCACAGTTCAGAGCCCTCATCTGGGACTCTGAACAATAAAGTCACCCTGCAAAGCTCCAAGTCCCTTTAAAAAGCTGACACTGTAGTTAAACTTTCTGTTGTCCATAATGATACCCTGAGGAAAAAGAAGAACATATTTTTCTCCCATATTTCTACTGGCTTTCTTGTTAAACCCAGGAATTCTCAAAAGGTCAGATGTTTTAAAAATACCTATGACTCTAGTGCTTATTTGCATCAGTACCTGCCTCAGTACCCTTAAAAGACTTCTCTGCAAATGAAGTACAAAAAAAAAAGTCCACAAGCATTTGTTGCTGAATCATTTAGATACACGTGAAAACTCAGCCGCTGTGTATTCCAATAGGCATACATCATTGAGCCCAGCTTGCAGCGACTGCTGTTTTGACATTAATTTTGTAGAGTAGCCTTCTGGATTGTTGTAGACTCATTTCTAATAATCAAGGTGAAACTACCCTGCTCACTGCCCCCATTATTAACTAAGGATCCCAAAAACCTTACAAGTGTTTTCTTTAGACATAGTGTACCAGCAGAGGCAGGAGAAATCCCAGCTGCTTCTGAAAAATACTTCACTGCTAGTCCAAGGGAAGAGACTTTTTCTGTCATCAAGTTCTGAGTCAGCCTTCCAAAGGCCAAAATAAGATCTGTGTACAGTACCTTCCAAAGGTCCCACCCACCCTCAGGCTGGTCTCTTACCTTGGATCCCCTAACACCAGCCCAATGCATGTTCTTGCATTGATGCACCGATCTTAATCGTCTTGCCAGAGAAACACTGACAATAAATGAGTCTGCAGCTAGCTCTTGCAGGGGTGAGGATTTCAAATAAAAAAAGATCCAAACACCCTATTTCCTGTGCTAGAAAAAGATCCTCATTACTTGTGTCAGTGAAAATATATCTTCAGGCTTTTTCCTCACAGCTACTAGCAGGCACACTATCTCACTGAATACTCAACTGGTAAGTGCCCTCTCCTGGTAGGACAAGCATCTCCTTTAATGGACAAGAATACAACAGCAATAAGGACACAAACAATCTGCCAGCATCAGGACAGTGACATCTTTCAGGCGGCTTGCTTACTTTACCAGAGAGCATGGGCTGTGTATTCAGACGTGCTGCTTAGCAGGTCAACATGCAGCACCACCAAGGAAAGGTTTTCATACGCACACACTTTCCAAGCGGCAGCACTGACCACCCAGCACCCTCCCCAACAGCACAGCAAATGCTGTCTGGTAGTTGTCCATTCTCATGAGGGTCCTCTTCTCAACTCTCCTTTCTTCATACCCAGTGCCTTACCCTGAAGTCCATTCATTGCACTAACAGAACTACTGGTTTTGCTTATACGATACCAGTAATCCAAGACATCAGTAACTTACAGTGCAGTAGCTCCTAACCTTGTCACTAGATTTTCTTTTTTTTTGTCAAGGCAAGCTCAGCAGTAGCGTGCAACTTTTTACAGGGCAGAAAAGTAGCAATGTCTGAACCCCCTCCAAAGAAAAAGTCAGAACTAGCAGCCAAATCACTATGAGAGCAACTGTGCAGATAGATATATTCACCAAGTGCCTCACATTTGCCGTGCTGCAGGGTACAAGGCTGGGTAATTTCCTTCCCCTTGTTCTGCTAGGACAGTCTCTGTTAACAAACCTCTAGCAAAGTCAGTAGTAACATCACAGAGGAGCCATAAAGACACTGTGTAACACTGCTGCTCAACTGGGGAAGAAATGTAGGGCTTGAATGATGAAGGCAAAATTATGTTGGGTCAGCATCCAGCAAAGAATGGAAATGGCATCTTGGGCATCAGCAAAGTCAGGGACATGGACCCAGCAAGAACACAGAATGAGCTAAAGCCTTTGGGTAAACTGAGCATCCGAGTAAACTGCAGCTGCTGTGACTATCAGCAGGAGGAACGTGCTGCTGATCAGTAGTGACTGTTTTGAGAAAGACCAACCCTTGCTTTCATCGCAGAAGCTTGGGAAAAAACAATGCAGTAACCTTGTTGGGCCAAGCACAAGTGCAGCACTTGTACAAGTACTTATTGTTAACAGCAGCTAGTTACACACAAAGCCGTGCTTCACTTCAGAAAAGAATACAGAAACTCAGGCTGCTGGAGCATGGACACGGATGACCGTAGCAGGGCAAGAGGCTGGGAGGAGGGGAAAGGTATTCTATTCAGAAAGCAGTGCAGCAGCACAAGGGATGTGAAGCACAAGGGATTCCAGGGAAGGGCAGAAGTTAATTTCAGACACATGCAGTGACTGAAAAAAAAATTAACAAGACACTTTGATGTTCTGCTACCTGCAGTCATTTATTGTATGTTGCAGCTTACAACCCTGACAGAACGAGGTGGGTTTTGTCCTCAGGCTGCTAGGTAAAGTTCAAAGCATCGCGTTTGAAAAGTGGTGACACAGGGATTCAGAGGAACCCTGAATTCAGCCTCACGGTTCAAAACACCGTGTGTATTGCAGCCACCACACACTCAAAGCCCATCTGCTCCATTGATGTAACCTCTAGCTCCATTTAAACGCTGGCTTTAGGCAGTGGTATAGAGAGACATGAATACTAAATTGATGATTCTGACAATCTAGAGCATTAAACATTTTATCTGGCTGGCTGGTCAGTCCCATTGTCTGAATAACCCTGAAAGGGCTGACCGTGTTGCAGCACAGTGATTCACTCAGCCTTTACCATAATCCACTGACTAAGATAAAATTTCTTCCTGTGAACAGACAAACAAGTAGGGGAGCGTCTGCTGTTTGTTGAATGTGTGATAATAAATGGAGATTAACTGGATAATAAAAACACTGCCTATTTACAGCCACACATCAGTTCCTTGCCAGAGGACACCTATTTGTTCAGGGAAAAGGGATTAAACTAAAGTCTGGGAGAGAAAGGATTACACACGCCCGCATTGAAATGTTTATCTGAAAACACACTGGGCCTGAAAGGTACTTTCTTCCTCTTCATTCTCTCCAATGCAGGACATACTATAGAAATGAATCTCAGGTCTCTTGAAATGAACTCATGTGTTTGGAAAAATAAAAAAAGTAATTGCTGATGCTGATTAAGGCTGTCCTACATACAGCACAGAAGTGGTATCGCAGCCAAGCCAGCTCTGAACGCAGCAGGCAGTGAACAGGCACTGGCAGGAGGTGACTGGTCAGCCGGAAAAAAAAACAGGAACACACTCCCACTAATGTCAAATTCAAGCCCACCCGTGGAGGTCCCCATTTCTGTGGTAGCAAGGACACAGTCTGAATTTACCAGGAGGGGACAAGCGAGAAAACATGGAGGGAATGAAGACAGCTTTGACCCTCATATGAGCAACAAGTCTCCCCAGTGAGTGTGGAGCTGCTTCCTGCCGCTGGAGGGAGAGCTGGAGCCTTGAAATGCTCAGGAGAGAGAGAACCCAAACTGAGAGGCCCTCAGAGCAAGCCTAGTTCAAAGCAGACCAAACAAAAAAAGTCCCCTCACTCCAAGGGCAATGAGAGTGCATTGGCTCTCCCCCAGGTCTGCAAAGGACGGCCGTGTCAAAGCCGCAGGGCAGCTGTGCTTTGCCGAGTGCCTCCCTCCCAGCCCTGCCTGCCGGCGCACGCACCCTCCTCGCGCCTTGGTCGGCAGCCACCCGGCTGCTCTGGCTTGCCTCCGCGCTTGAGGAAAGGTACCTGCACGTGCACAGAACAAGAGCTGCCACGGGCTCCAGCAGACCTCAAAAATCCTCTTGAGGGCTTGCTGTAATGGGAAAGACCTGCTTGCTGCTTGGACTACCCGAGTTAGAAGATAAAGGCTGTCTTGCTGCAGAAATGACCACCACGCCTAAATGCAGCATACAAGCACAAACGCACCAACGCAGAGCCTGATGCTCTCCTTTGGCCTTCAGTGAGTCTCCCTTCAATGTCAACAAGTGACTTCAACAGAAATCATTACAAAGAACAGTCCCTGTCCTGTAACATTTAGTTATCCACTCAGTACTTTATTGTCATCTCATGGAAAAAGTGCTGGTTTGGGACACTGCTGTTTCTGTCATTCCTTCCCTTTAGCTGAGCATCTCCTCTGCTGTACCCAAGTTCCATGTTCTTTGGGTCTTAATCCCACCCATTTCTTCATCCTTCCTTCCTTCCCCTTAAAATGGCATGCAGCAATGTATGTTGAGCTTCATAATGCTGGCCAACATTAAGTTCTAGGATCAACGCTCACTGAAGACAAAGATTAAAGTTCTCGCCTTCTGGAACAGCTGGCTCTGGTCACAGGTTGTATGGGTGGCTTTGCAACTATACAGTGCTACAGTTTAGGTTAACTTGTATTTCAGAGCATATGCACTTCCATCCAAGAGCATATTAAAGGACATCGGGTAGGTGATATTTCTGTCCCAAATGCCTAACAGAATTAAAAATGACCCAACGATCCAGTCTCATACACCCATGAGAAGAACGGTGGTGTGGCAGTTGAGACACAGGAATGGAAGGCAAGTGTCTCGGGGTCTACTCCCACAGTCATCTTACAAAAACCCGTATCCACGTTTTGTTTGTTTTTCAAGCCAAGGTACATGCTTTCATATCAAGCCTCTACCAGCAGCCCACGGGAACTCCGGAGTATCATCTACAACTATTAAAATGCTAAAAGATAAATCCCAGTTAAGCAGGCTATCAGGGTATGGTTCAGAGTGCAGGAGAGGCTTAAAAAAAAAAGTCTAGTCCATTAATTGGCCCTCACAGAATAGCTTCTACAGAACACAATGAAGAGCAGCAAGAAACTGGAACGAGCCCAGAACCGT